AAATAAATAAATAAAAAGAAAAGAAAGAGAAATTATTTACTTCAAGCCACCAAATACCTGCCTGATCAGGGTTCTCACTTCCCTTAGTCTCTATATTGGTTTCCTGTGTCTTCTGTAATGAACTACCACAAAACAGTACACATTTATGTTTTTGCAGTTCTAGTTAAAAGTCTTGCACAGGCCTTGCTGGGCTAAGGTCAAGGTGTCTATAGGGCTGGTTCCTCATGGGAACTCTTGGGGGGAAACCATCTCCTGCCTTTCCCAGCTGGACTCATGGCCCAGTCCTTTGTCTTCACAGCCCCAAGGCAGTAGCTCCCATCCCTCTCTGACCTTCCTGCCTCCCCCTTTTCACTTACAAGGACGCCTGTGATTATACTGCACCTACCGGGATTATCCAAGATCATCTCTTGTCTGAAGGTCCTAAACATAATCACAGCTGCAAAACCCTTTTACCATCTAAGGGGAGTAACTCTTCTGTTTGAAGGATTAGGTTTAAAGGATTATGGTGTGGACTTCCCTAGGGGGTGGGGATGGAGAGGGACATTTTGCATGGCATAGCCTATAATTATTTGCTTTTTCTTTTTTTTCAATTTGTTTGAATTTGAATTCAAATTGTGTTAGAATTGGTCAATGAGTCACTTGAATCTCTCTTCTCGGTTTCATCCCTTCTGTTTTATTTTAGGGGATCTGGACCCTTTGTCCTGTAGTGTTCCTCAGTCTGGATTTTTTTTTTTTTGAGTCAGAGTCTCAGTCTCCCTTGGTAGAGTGCCATGCATCGTAGCTCACAGCAACCTCAAATTCTTGGACTTAAGAGATCCTCTTGCCTCAGCCTCCCAGGTAGCTGGAGCTACAGGCACCTGCCACAATGCCCAGCTATTTTTGCAGAAACAGGGTATCGCTCTTGCTCAGGCAGATCTTCAATTCTTGAGCTCAAGTGATCTGTATGCCTTGGCCTCCCAGAATGCTAGGATTACAGGGAAGAGCTAACATGCCAGGCCTCTCAGTCTGGATTTGCTGACTATATCCTTGTGAATTCGTTAATGTATTTCTCTGTCTGGTGTTTCTATGAGTGGCAGTTACATTTAAGGCTTGGTCAGATTCATCTTCAGTTTTTGTTATTTTTTTTTTTTCTGGTTTTTGTTGAGGTCAAGTTCCATGTACTCGTCTAGCACATGGTGTGCAGTTGTCTCTTTTAAGCAGCCAGTGCCCTGATTTTATGAGGGATTTGATGTGGTGATGTTCTAATTCCATCATTGCCTTTCTGTGGATCAGCTGGAATGCTTCTATGTGACACTTCCCTCACCTGTTCTTTGGTTGTCTAGTGGTACAGACTGTGGCAGATGCTTGATTCCTTTATTGCCACCTTTAAAAATAATAAATTGGAGCGGCGCCTGTGGCTCAAAGGAGTAGGGCACCAGCCCCATATGCCGGAGGTGGTGGGTTCAAAC